CCCTCAGGGCCTTGGCGGCACCCGCGACGGAGGGGGCGGAGGGGGCGGAGCAGAGGCGACAGGCTCCGCAGCCTCGCGCTCCGCCGCCTCCCCCGCGAGCTCGCGCGCGCGCGCACCCGAGCTGGGCGGGAGGGGCGGCGCGCGCGCGCGCTCACCTGCAGCCTCCTGAAAGGCCTCGGAGGCTCGCGCTCCGCCCACACCCAATAGGAAGCGCGCACCTGCGCCCGCGGCGCCAACCAATCGGTACACGCCTTGCAGGGCGCGTGGGCGGGCCACCTTCTCGAAAATCCCGCCCACCGCAGCGCGATTGGCCTCGCGCTGCGAGGGCGGGGCGGGTCACCTGAAGCCCTGGGCCTCTCTGACCCAGCGGGAGAGTTGGAAAGCGCATGCACCCGCCCTGTGGTTTCCGCCCCGGGAAGGCCAGCCGGAAGCGCGAGCGCACCTGGAGACGAGCTGGGGTGGGTGGGCCTTTTGCGCACGCGCGGCCGCGGGCCCGGTTGCCGGGGCCCGGGTTGAAGCTCGCACCCCGCTGGGGGATGTAACGTGCCGCCTGGTGCGTCGCCCAGGGGCGGATGGGTTTCACCTGCCCCTCCAGCAAGCACTTTGGGATGCTGCAGCCTGAAACAACGCCCCTCCACCACCCATTTGCGTTCTTTAGGTGTCAGGCTGCAATTCTGGTTGCAAAAGTCAAGTTTTCCCGCTTCGACCACAGTTACTGGGGGAGAAAGAACCTCGGGGTTTTTCTGGTTTGGCTTTGTCCGCAGAGACTTGCTGCCATCCGTCAGGTCCCAAGGGGAGAATGGGTGCCTGGAGGGAGGGAACGTGGGCTGAGGCCCGGGATGGCCCTCGCAGGTCTGGCCTCCCTGGGGATTTCTCCTAGACAGGCCCTCCAAGGCTTTTTTTCTTTTCTTCCTTTTTCTTTATTTTAATTTCCGAGGTCTTCTTCTCCCGTCCTCCAGCCATTTCTTGGCCATACGCTGTGTCCACCAGTAACAGCCTCTGGATTGTGTCTCTGATAACAAAAGATTGACTCCTCTCCACATGCTCTAGAGTCCGGTTCGCCTCGCAGGGACCCTGTTTAGCTTTGGCCGCGATGTGGAGGTGAGGAGGAGACCCCCAAATCCTGGCACCCACCCGCAGGAGGGCTCACTGTGGGACTCCTGCTCAACAGAGAGCTGTTGAACCCTCTCCTGAGCTGGGCCTGGGCCTGCAGGCAGGTGTCTCACCTGGAATAATGGCCAAGAACAGCTGGTTAGGATGTTTCATTCTACCTGAGTCCTCAGGGCCTTCCTCCCTCACCTCACATCCCTCCTAACACCTTGCACACCTGCATGTCAGCATGTGACTCACAAGGTGCAGTTTTCCTATTTTGTGTGCGTGCGTGTGTGTGTGTGTGTGTGTGTGTAATTCACTTCTGCCCCGGAATGAAAGCTGTGGGAAGGCAGAGACCACATCGGCTTTGTTCATTGTTGAGCCTGTAGCATGGGACCTGACTCCTGGCAGGTGCTCAGATAGGTCTTTGCTGGGTGCTGGTGCGGAGGGAGTGTGGTTTCTCCATGCTAACGTGCCCCACCTGGCTTCAAAGGTGAAAACCCCATCTTTTCCCTGGAGAGGTTCACATCACCAAATGCTTGTGGGGGATTATAAGGTTTTTCTAGCCATTTTGGGTGGCCATCCCAAGCTGAATAACAATAAGGCTGCCTTCTCCACCCCTGCTCATACTAGTAAGTACCTACTTTGTGACTCAAGCTGAGCTGGGAATGAAGCATGCTCCTGTGATGAGGCCGTAGGATGGTTTGGTCTCAAAACCCCTTACTACTTTTAAAAATTACAGAGATATCCTAGCCGGTTTGGCTCAGTGGATAGAGCGTTGGCCTGCAGACTGAGGGATCCCGGGTTTGATTCCGGTCAAGGGCACATGCCCTGGTTTGGGGCTCAATCCCCAATAGGGGGCACGCAGGAGGCAGCCAATCAATGATTCTCATCATTGATGTTTCTCCCTATCCCTTCCTCTCTGAAATCAATAAAAATATATTTTTAAAAAATTACAGAGGCCACCATGTATTTTATTTATATGTATTATGCCTTTCAATATCTGTTGTATTAGAATGAAAAGTGAGAAATGTTTAAGACACAAGAATACACAAGCACACATTCCAGGAGTCATCAGGGTGATGATATCATCACATGTCATGTCCTTTCTAGAAAACTCCATTGTATACACAAGGAGGGTGATCAGAGCACGTGACATCACAATATTGAGAAAACAGTTTTGGCGTTGAGAATCCCCTAGCAAGGCCCAGGGACCCCACTTTGAGAACCGCGGGCTAGAAAACATGTCACAACCTTTAGGGATCTTCATCTCAGCTGTCACTCTCCTCTCCCCGGTTGCCAGGGCCACACCCTGGGAGCAGGAGCCCCAGCTTTGTGTGAGTGATTGTTGGGTGGTTGCGCTTTATTGCTGTTATCGGCACTGATTTATCAGGCCCTTTTAAAAAGGAAGGTTGTGGGTGCCAACCCACCTGCGTGGGCCCTGCATTCCTGGAGGTGTCGTCACATCCTCTCTCCCCTCCCCCAGGGTGTGGCATCCCTCTTTACTTGGACTTTCCTTTCTCGGAGGGAGTGAGCCAGGCCAGCGCTCCCTGGATCTCCTGAGCAGAATTTGCGCGGAGGCCTGCTTCACAAGTACCCCTGGGCTGTGCAAGGAAGGAATGTGGAAAATAGTTAGACTTTGATAAAGGCGCCGTGGAGGAGGGGAACCCTGTCATCCTGAGAGCTGTTAGGACCACAAGCTTGTTCACGGGGCCTGAATTTCAGCCTTTCTCCAGAAACATGAAGCCCCGAGAAAAGCATACAGAAGGGTTTATATCTGTTTCTTTGGTTTGAAGGCTGAATCCTAATCTCATTTCTCTCCACCACCCCTCCCCACCCCCAAATCCTGGAGCTCAAGCTGATCAAGACCTACATGTGGAATGAAAAGCTAGTCCCTTGCCTGGGAGACTTAGTACTCAGGGAGTTAGGAAGATAAAGTGAAGCGAGTGTAGGACACGGACTCTATAAATTAATAGGTTCACAAAAATCAATGGTTGGGAACTGGCTCCCGCTGATTATCACACCCACACAGCTTCTGATCTCTCCAAACCATCTCCACCCCTGAAAGGAGATAGTGAGGGTTGTTACATTTCTGCTTTATCCTATTCAAGACTTTCTGTTTTCAAGTTCTACAACTTAACACACGGTGGTGTTCGTTTGCTGAAAAGAGTTTGTAATTTTCCACAATTAGTTTTACTGATTCTTGTCATGCATAATGATACTTTTTTCTTTCCTTCTTCCTCTAACTCTTAGAAAAAAAAAAAAAGAGGTGGCAAGGAGTCATAGATAATGGTGGTGAGGTATTTTTCAAGAAGTTTCTCTTGCCAGCTCTTTTTCTCCTTGATTGCTCAAGTTCCAGTTGATGGAGCTGGTTAATAATTCTTTGAGAAAGAGTTGAAGTGTATATTTATGAATCTCAGACTACTCACCAAAGCATTTTAAGCTCTTTAGCAGAGGTGGAATTAAGTCACATGATCTGTTTTCTGGTTAATAGCTTATAATACTTTAATACTGTGTGTGTGTGTGTGTGCCAGGTGTGGGGGTTGGAACTCACAGCTCCAGAAACTGATGAATTATCCCCTGTGGCCTAGAGGCTAGATGCCCTTCTAGGTAACATCACCGTCTTCGTGGGAGGCAGAATGTGCCAGGTACTGTGCATGAACCCAGCCTTTGAGGAGCTGACCTTTTCCCTCTCTGGGACTCAATTTCTCCATCTGCAAATGCAGGCGCCAGAATGAGATCATCTCCACAGTCCCTTCCAGCTCTCAACGTTCTGCAGTACCCGGGGATAATGAAGATTGATCATTATTTCAACATTACCAGGGGTAAACTGGAAGGAAAAGGGTAATCTTTTCTTCAGGGTCAACAGGCAGGCTGCAGTCATCAGCTAAAATAGTCCCGTTTCTAGGAAGTGTTGGTGAAGATGATGAAAACTAACACTTAAGAGCGTCCTACCAGGAGCCAGGCACTGCAAAGCTTTCCCGAGGATTATCTTAGTTACATTTAAGTAGCAGCAGGAAAGAGCTTTGTATTTGGAGGCACTCAGTTCTTAAAAAGAAATTTTAGGTGATGGATGCTAATTTGAGCCCCTAGCTCTGCTCCTTGCTGGTTGGGTGACCTTGACCCTGTTCCCTTAACCCAGTGGTTCTCAACCTTCCTAATGCCGCGACCCTTTAATACAGTTCCTCATGTTGTGGTGACCCCCAATTTCATTGTTACAAATTGAACATAATTAAAGCATAGTGATTAATCACAAAAACAATATGTAATTATATATGTGTTTTCCGATGGTCTTAGGCAACCCCTGTGAAAGGGTCGTTCGACCCCCAAAGGGGTCTCGACCCACAGGTTGAGAACCGCTGCCTTAACCCCTCGGAGCCTCAGATTCCTCCTCTATGAAAGGAGATGGCAGTGCCCATCGCATTGTTGCTGGAATCAGATAACAGCTTTGCAGAGCATCAAGTGTGATGCGAATATTAGTGGTTATTCCTTAGCTAATAATATTGCCTATGAAAGCCTTTGAAAAAAATTCCTTGAAATAAAACAGAAATGTGTAATAAACTATTCTTTTTGTTTTCACACAGAACAACCTTTCCATGGATATCTTTTAGATACGCTGAGAGTCAGCCTGGAGCCATTGACAACAGATGCCTACATTCAAATCCTGCCGCTGCCATTTCCTCGATGGTGACCTTGGGCAAGTGTTTAACTTCTGTGACCTTTGGTTTCTCACATTTGTAAAATGAGGCAACTAAGAGATTCACTTGTCTCAATTCACGGAAAAAGCACTTAGAATGGGACTCAATACAGAGTCAGAATTCCATAAATGTTACCTTTTATCGTCATTATTGCTGTCTAATTATTTTTATTACCTACTGCCATAATAGAATTCATTAATGAGTATTTAATAAACCCCAACCGTGTATGTAACACTGTGCTTGACATGGAGATGAAGGATAATAAGAAAAGAGAATGAAGATATGATTCCTACTGTCTGGCACGTCACAGCTTACATATAGATCGGCTCAGTAAACATCCCTTGAGCTCTTATCCGGATCAGACAAATATGGGTACAATAGAGTTGTTGCCTAGAAGGAACTGTGGCTGAGAAGTCAGACGCACAGAGAGACGTCTTCTGGAAATGGTGGGCACAGTAGTTAAGGATGTGGTGGGGGTTGTTGGAGTTGACCACCCAGAGATCACATCTGGCTCTTCCACCAGCCAGCTGTGGAACTCTCTCTAAAGACCACTTTCCACAGGAATAAACTGAAGGTAAGTAATAGTATCTACCTTCTTTGAATTAACAGCCATTCAGGGAGTGTCTGTGATGTGCCGGACACTAGTCTAGATGGATCCTGTAGGATAGAAGACATAACAGAATCCCTGCCTCCTGGAGCTGACATCCCAGGGGAGAGAGAATACACCAATTATTTCATTAAAATATATAGTGTGTTCCTGTTAAAAGCCCTGGAGAAAACTTAAGTGGGGGTGGGTAAGGAGGATGGGGAGGCCTGGCTGTGTGGGGGAAGGGGGGGGGCAAGGTGTGGATGGAGAGAGAAATTTAAATGGGGTGGCAGGGATGGCCTCTCAGGAAAGCTGGAGGTGAGAAAATGATCCTCTTGTTTTTCCAGTTGCCCCCTCCCCCACCCTCCCCCGCCCTCCCCACTCTCAGGCTGGTGCTGGGAGAAAAATCTTTAAAAACGGGGCGATAAGAGGATCAGCTTTGTGTTTTCATAAAATCTAGCCAGGAGGTAGGCACTGGGGGCAGCAAATTAATGAGTTCTGCAGGGAAGGGCGTGATTAAATGGCAGAATGAGTGGTGTGGCCGGTGAGACGTAGGGGGGAGGCAGGACATCCCTCCATTCATTTGTTCATTCATTCAGCACATCTTTATGGAGGTCCAGCTCTGTGCCAGGCACCGGCTAGATGCTGGCTGGGGCTGCTCTGGGGATAAGACCAGCTGGGAGGCGGGGCAGGGGAGTGCCACAGACCAGACTGTAACTGGAAGGAGTGAATAGGCAGGGCGGGGCCTTGGGAGGAGAGAGCCCCAGCCCCAGCCCCAGCCCCAGCCCCAGCCCCAGCCAGGCTCTCCGCCAGCTGGTGTGGCTGTTCGGGAAGGCGGGGCTTCAAGTGCAGGTCTGACTCTAGAGGAGACGCTGACATTTTTAAGTGAAACTTTCTAGTTTTTAAATGATGGCAACTGTTCGAACAGTGCGGTGACTGAGAATAAGTGGAGTGTGTGTGTGTGTGTGTTCTATCTAGGATGGGAAAGCTCTGAGGAGGTGATATGTAAGTCTTACAAGGTGGTGAGGGTGGGGGCGAGGGAGAAGAGCATGTACTAAGGGTCCAGTAAGGGCAGAACTTGGTGTGTTTGAAGAATTCAAAGAAAGGCCGTGCCTGGAGCTTCAGATGAAGGAGAAGAATGACTCCAGGTGAACCCAAGGTGAGGTGGGCAGGGCCAGGTCATCCAGGAGAAGTTCATTGAGAAGCCATCTATACTAATAAAAAGGTAATATGCTAATTAGACAGGATGTCTTCTGGAGGTCCTTCCAGACAAAGCCACAGTGGCGGGGTCTGAGGCAGAGGTGGTTAGGGGTGATCAGTCCGGCAGGGAAGAGCGGTTAGGGGGGATCAGGCTGGCAGGGGAGGGCAATTAGGGAGAGATCAGGCCAGCAGGGGAGCCGTTAGGGGCATCAGGCCGGCAGGCAGGTGAGCGGTTAGGAGCCAGTGGTCCAGGATTGTGAGAGGGATGTCCCAGATTGGAGAGGGTGCAGGCTGGACTGAGGGACCGCCCCCCCCTCCCATTCATGAATTTCATACACCAGGCCTCTAGTCTCTGAATAATTAGAAATAACATTAATGCCTGTAGCCTTTGAGTCTAGACCTAGAAGAAGGAGGAAACGAAGAGATATTCTAGAGAGGAAAATAGTGAGAACAAAGTAGTTCTCCAAGTTCTCACTCACCCTTGAGTGGAGGACGGTTGAAGGAGAGTGAGGCAGTGATCGCACTGGGATGGATTTCCAGACCCTGGGAATCCTCGGGAGATGACATTTAAGTAGGGGGCTTGGTGCCATTTTATGGAGATCATTCAACCAAGGGCTTTTATCTTGTAGGCCAGGGTGTCCCAAGCACGCCTGAGGCTAAGAATCATCTTGGGTGCGTACTAAAAATGCAGATTTGAGGGCCCTCCTTCTGTGGTCCCATTTCTGGAATGGGCCTCAGGGAACCTGTAATCTTAACTATCATCCAGGGATTCTTACCCTCAGGTAAGTCTGGGAAAATGGTCATGTAGGCATATCATTGCAGGTTTCTGACTTGGGAGTCAGAACCGGTGTCTACAGTAGATTGAGGACAGGAAACTCGCAGGCAGAAGACCCAGGATGGAGCCCTTGCTGGTGTCAGGACACAGGAGGGGGAAGGGCTGGACTCGGGCTGTGTAAGGGGACCGTTAGTCATTTTCTAGGGCTGTCGTAACGAAGTGCTGCAAATGGGAGGCTTAAAACAACAGAAATGTGTCCTCTCACCGCTCGGGAGGCCAAAGTCAGAGGGAGAATCTGATGTAGGCCTCGATCCCAGCTCCGGCAGGGGGAGGGGGGGTGGCCACCTCACTGGCATTCCTGTGCTTGCAGGGGCGTCACTCAAGTCTCCCATTTTATAATCACGTTGAGTTTTCCCCATGTTAACTTTTAAGTTACATGTTGCCTGAAAGATGAGGGAAAAGACCATAGTATTCATACAGGGGTGGGGGACATCCGGCCCGCGGGCCATAGAAGGCCTGCGAAATCATTTGGTCTGGCCCTGCCAAGGCATGAGAGGTGAGTTAACTAAATGTTTGACCAAATATATCAAGCTAGTTTTTAAGGTGATCATTTTGTATGGCCTGCGCATGAGGGTATAAATATCCAAATGGCCCTTGGCAGAAAAAAGGTTCCGCAGCCCTGGTTTAAAAGCTGCTTGCCTGGCATATGATCAGTTCTCCCAGTGCTTGTCCCGTGAGTGGACAGAAACATTTTGTTGGGGACTTTGGGGGTGTCCTGCCAGAATAAAAGGCACATTGAAGGCCCCTGCAGAGTGAATAGTGAGGAAACAAGAGACCATGGCAACACATCACGAGGCATAAGATGGTTGCTGGAGGCAGCGACAAATAATGACATAAATATTATGGAGCATTGAAACCTGCAGGGGCGGTTCCTAAAGAGCATACTGTCTGCCCTCATTTCATTGCAAGTTGATCAACTCACCCAGTTTGTGTGGGACTTTCCCAGTTTTAGCCCTGAGAATTCCAGAAAACCCCAGAGAAGTCCTAGCAAACACTACTTCATCTTCACGAAAACACCTGGACAGTTATCACCCTCATCCTATAGATGAGGACACTGAGGCACAGAGAAGTTAAGTAACTTGCTCAGGGTCACACGGGTACGTGGCAGAGCTGGGACTCAAACCCAAGTCATTGCTTCCCAGGTCCCTCACCCTCCCACACTGCCTTTTATAGGGTCAAGTGAATGTCAGTTCTTGGTTTAAAAATATTTCTTCCTTTGTGAAATGCATCATTTTGTTTGGAAGCATGGTTGTGTCCTTTCCCCTGCCCCGAGGCAATCCTACAGGTAAAAAGTCAGTCAAGAGTCAGGTTGCAAGACTTGTTGCCTTCTAGGAGCCTTCTAGAAACATGACACCCTCCAGAGAACCTGCCCCCACAGCCCCAGCATCTGATCAAAATTCCTCATGGGATTTTTTTCAGGAGGAGAGAGTGTGCTGTTCACTACAGAGAGGAGTTTCCAAAATGAAAACAAACCAACAAACAACCCAACTCGTTAACGGAGATCCAGTAACTGAGCCTTATTAAGTTCAACATTAAGAAGAAGAAAACGAAATCATTTACAGAAACCCCTTTCTCCCTTGGGAGACATTTAAGAACCGAACATATTTTTAAAAAAACTTAAAGGCATGCCAAGTTTATGTAAAATTATACCAATGATGAAAGAGGCTTGAGAACAACAACAAAGCCATCCAAAGTCAATGCCCACAATCGTATGCTCTTGGGAAACAGAGAAGAAGGCGAGATCAAGGATGCCAAGAGCATTTGAGCCCAGTGATGGGGAGCACAGTGGGGAGCCTGGTTCAGTCCTGGCTGCCTGCCTCTGAGCTGGGTGTTGGGGAGCACAGCTGGGGAGCACAGTGGGGAGCCAGGGTCAGTCCTGGCTGCCTGCCTCTGAGCTGGGTGATGGGGAGCACAGCTGGGGAGCACAGCTGGGGAGCCTGGTTCAGTCCTGCCTGCCTGTCTCTGAGCTGGGTGATGGGGAGCACAGCTGGGGAGCACAGCTAGGGAGCCTGGTTCAGTCCTGCCTGCCTGTCTCTGAGCTGGCTAATCTGGGGCAGGGACTTCCCTCTCTGAGTCTCATCTCCAAAAGGGGATACTGAGTGTCTGCCTTAGAGGGCTGTGTTAAGAAACCCAGCAGATTATAAGTCGTTCACTAACCCTGTTTCTGGCCCACCGCACGTGCTGAGTAAATGGTGCCTGTTCCTGGTCAGGATGCCTTTGGCCTGCGATTAGGCAGAGATCTGAGCTCGTGTTTGTTGGAGGCTCCCGCCCTGTCAGGCCTCAGCTCGGCGTCCCACACACACCCTGATACTTAATCCTCACCTTAACTCAGGGACTGATGATTATTCTATCTGCAGACGAGGAGACCAAGGCACAGAGGGGAGGGTTCAGGGTTCGGCTTGAAGAGTCACACGGAGAGGAAGGGATTAGGCCCCAGGTCCATCCTGACTCTGCTTTTTACTGCACAACGTTCCAGGGAAACTTAAAAAATAATAATAACAGTAATAATTTTTTTAAAGATGTCGTTTTTCTAGTCCCAGGTCCCCTTAAATATGAAGATCTGTTTCTGGAATGAGACATTTCAAAGTGGAGCAAGGTGTGCCCGGCAGCCTCCTGGATGGGGGAGTTTTTGCCTGTGTGCAGAGGCAAAGACTTGAGGCTGAAGTTGTTTTCCACACACTCCAAGGGCTTCCAGGCAGACTTGAACCTGTGCCCTAGGGCTGAGCCCAGCCCCCTCCCCAGTCCCATCTCCCCGAGGTAAATGTGTCCAAAACCCTCCACGTAAACAGCGTAAACAGCGGTCCTTAAAATAGGAGCTGTGCCTGGAGCCTGTGTTTACAGCCGCCTGTTCAGGATGGTAGGGAGAATGTTTATCTTAGTCCACAAACCCCGTCTGATTTTTGCAACGATGAGCAGTGAATGCTGCTTTGCCTCTGCGTGTGGCCCTTGCTGGTACTTTTCCTCTGTGGGTCAGTTCTATGACTCGGGGTGGGGCGGGGGAAGGTCTCCCAGCTTCATCTATAAATCAGGAGAGTGGGCCTTTAGGGATGCCCCTCTGGAGTCTGGCCATGAACTTGAAGTCCTGAGCTCTCCACGCTTTGCATGGTCCTGCTGGAGAGACCTGGATTCCGGGAAAATTCCTTCCTGGGTCATACCCTTGCTCATTTATGTAGCCATTCGTCGGTGACACACTAATTCCTACGCCAAACCTGGAGGGCCTGCCCCACCTTTCAACCGCTCCCTCCGCCCAGGGCTTCTCAGAGATAGTGCCGAAGGACCTAGTCAATTTACAATTTTTTAATTGTTGCAGATGGATACTTTTGTAAAATATAATAAAGATGAATTATCAGGAAAAAAAAAGAAATTTAAAAACCCCAAAGACATATAAAATGCAAGCCCCATTTTTTAGTGCTGGATTCTCCGTTTTGTGCAGACCACATCTGACCAGCATGGGGTTTGTACACACAGTTACAGTACAATGTGGTAAATGTCCTCAGAGGCTGAGATCCCAAAAGGCAGGAACATAAATCGTTGTGTAGGAATCCAAAGGGCTCGATCGTCGGTGGGGCCTCAGTTTCCCCACTCCACCGGGTTGTTGGGTGTAGCTAACACACAAAGCGCTGGACGCCCCCGGATTTGAGGAATACCGTGCAAGTCTCATCATCCTTCCCTTCTGGTAGTTCAAGCACTCCGACCGCTCAGATGCGACCCGTTTCGACGTACAAAGCACTCTACAGATTAGAATATTTAAAAATCATTCTTCTTCTAAAAGTAAAGCATTTTGTAGGGGAAAAAGAAACCTCCCCTCTATCCTTCCTTCCAGGTCTTTTATTATATGCACATGAATATAGCAATGAGCTCATACCACACAGAATTTTTTAAAAACAAATCTTGCTTCCTTCACTTAATACATATCATGGGGATACTTCCCTCTGCTACTTAGATACCTCCCTTTTTTTTTTCCCCAGGTGGCACTGCTTTCCGAGGTCTAGGTTCGCCATAGTTTACTTAGGCCGTCTTGTAATAGCGGACATTCAGGTCATTATTACTCACGGTGTTGCGGTAAACATCATGTGCGTACGTCCCACATGCTTCTGTGTATTTCTCTAGGATAGGTTCCAAGAAGCCAGTGGGTGTTGTAGGTGTTGCCAAAACAGTCCTCTTGAAAGACAGTACAAATCACATCAGATTTTGAAGTTGGAAAAGGGTGCTGTTGAACTCACTCCTCCTTTTGCTGATCAAGAAGCCAAAAGGGGGAAGAACCTGATCGAGGTCACACGTGAGTTCAAGACAGAGCCAAGAACAGACTCCTGACTCTGTCTGGCGAAGTTCCAGTGTTTCCCTCGCCCTCTAACAGCCCTATGCCGGTGGCCTTGACTGGTGGGGGGCCCTATGCAGAACCAGGAGTGAAGGCTTTGAATAATGATATTTGTGTCAGATTTGAACCGTGGCCCTTAAGATTGTGTCTTACATCCCTTAAGAAAGGGACTGTGACTTGGGGTGCCCTGGCAGCCCCTTCGGAGGAACATCTGATTCTCGTTTGACCTAATCATCCTTGTCATATGCTAGTATAGGGACAGCTGAGAACAGCGAGTGAAGCACAGAACTTGGTCTCCAAGCTTACCTCTGCCCTGACTCAGTGTCCCCACCTTGGAAATAGTAACCTTCTCACAGAGTGATCGTGGAAATAAGGTAACTGTACGGCAAAGGCTTGGAAGGCTCTCGGGAAACCGAGTCCTCTCTGACGCTTCTCCTGTGGAGCTGAAAAGAATCAGAACTTGCGGTTGAGGTGTCCAACAGAGGGCAGTCTGAGCTGGAAGTGGGATTTTCCGACCCAGAGAGAGAGAGGAGCACGAGTGAGAAGCACCCATGGTGCTAATTTAGCCTCAGAGTTCAGATCTAATTGAGGTTAGAGTCCGTTTTGCTTATCACTGGTGCATTGCTCTGAAGAGGTTATTTAAGGACAAGAAGTGGCCACATCCCCAAATTCCACAGACACTCCCTGCTCTCTAATCCCTCTCTAAGCCCTTCCTCTCCTAAATATCATCTGTCTGTGCTTCTCTATCTCCCACGGAACCCATCTCTGTCCTCGGCCTCACAGTCTCTGGCCGTGCAGGACCGCCACTTTGTTCTGGACTCTCTCCATGTAGCTGCCTGATTGCAAACATCGAACACGCAGCAGCACCCCAGGGTGGGCCTTCGTGATCTCCTGCTGAAACTACTAGTAAACACCACAAGCAGACGGGTCTGAGCCGCCCCAGCTGAGGCTGCAGCCAGAGCAATCTGACCGCCCCTCTGGAGCCCGGCTGACGGGGTGACCACCCTCCCCTCCTTCGCCTGACACCCAGGGCTCTCCAGGGCCTGCCTCCAACCCTGTGCCTTCAGTTCCCATAGTCATGGCTGCCATTTGTGAAGAGCGGACTGTGTAAAGCAAAGGCCTTTATAGGTATGATGTCATTTCATGCTCAGGAGATAGGGAGTATTATGATCCCTCCTTTATGGGCGAGGAAACCAAGAGTCAGAAGAATGTACTGACCTGTGCCCTGGCCAGGTAGCTCAGTTGGTCTCAATACACGAAGGTTGCAGGTTTGATCCCCAGTCAGGGAACATACAAGAATCAACCAGTAAATGCATAAATAAGTGGAACAACAAATCAGTGTTTCTCTCTCTCTCTCTCTCTCTCTCTCTCTCTCTCTCTCTCTTTCTCTCTCTCTCAAATAAATTTTAAAAAAAATAATAAGGGATGTAGTGACTTGCTTAAGGTCATGCAGCCAGGCAGTAGCGATGCCTGAGTTAAAGCCCTGGGTGTTTTAACTGTGTTTCCCAGGGGTGGGCCTCATATCTCCCCCCCGCCCCCGGGGGGTTGTTAATTAAGAGAGTCCTTTGAAATGTCAAAAATGCAATGGCGTCTGTTTCCATTCCAACTTTAAAAAGATGAAAAAATTAATTATTTTTAAATTTCCCTTAAAACAGCTGGCAGTGTAGGAGCTGCCACTTGCGGTGAGTGCAGACAAACGAGTGTGCACGGCTCAGCCACTCACCGGTTCCGGTGACACTCCCCAAGCACGTGCGGCTGGACGGTATCACATTGGTTCTCTCTCAGACCTATATTTGCTTTATTCCTACCATGGCAGAACTGCTGTTGTAATCTAATTAATGGGGCACCTATATTATTGCAAAATCAACATTAAAAAGAAAAACAGCAATGGCTCAGCCAGTGTGGCTCAGTGGTTGAGCGTTGACCTATGAACCAGGAGGTCACGGTTCGATTCTGGTCGGAGCACATGCCTAAGTTTCGGGCTCAATTTCCAGTGTGGGGTGTGTAGGAGGCAGCCAATCAATGATTCTCTCTCATTATTGATGTTTCTATGCCGTCTCTCCCTCTCTGAAATCAATAAAAATACATAAAAAAATAAAAACATAGGTTTACAGTTGTTCATGTGGAAAATAATATAATAACAAATAATAATACAAGAATAAACTGGCATACTCACAACTGTAAACGTACATTTAAAAAAGCAACAAAAAACAACAACATAACAATGATTCTACATATATCTGTACTCATGGGAGCAGCACTTACAAATAAAAACCTGATAATCTCTCTTCTCACCTCTTAGAAATAAACAAAACTGGGAAAAAAAACACACCTTAAAAACACAAAATGCAAGGATTCTGAGAGAAGTAGAATTCTATTAAAGGTGCCTGTTAGTACGACAGCCCTTTCACTAGAAAATAAGCTGCAGCAAGTCGGGGACGTGTCTATCTTCACTGCTGGGGAACCACACTTGAGACTCTCAGGAAATGTTTGTTGAATGAGTAAACGTTGACGATATGATCAGACTCAGAATGAACTGTTTCTGTTTTTTTTTTTTTTAAATATATTTTTATTGATTTCAGAGAGGAAGGGAGAGGGAAAGAGAGATAGAAACATTAATGATGAGAAGGAATCATTGATCGGCTGCCTCCTGCACGCCGCACACTGGGGATCGAGCCCGCAACCCAGGCGTGTGCCCTGACTGGGAATCAAATCATGACCCCCTGGTTCATAGGTTGACCCTCAACCACTGAGTCCCCCTAGCCAGGCTGAGTTTCTGGACTGGGCCCCTCGATGAAGAACTATGTGTTGACCGGGACTTGAGAGTCTGTGGTGTTCCCTCCCAGCATAATCTCACTGGGTCCTTACAGTCACCTTGTGGCTGGGGAAGTAGCATCCCCACTTTTAGGAGGAGGCTGGGAGCAGCGGAATGCTGTGCTCAAGATCCCATAGAGTGGCAGGGGCCAGGTCTTGGGAATCTAAATCCAGTTCTCTTTCCAGTATCGTCCACCGTCAGCCGGTCCAAGGAGGTCTAGCGCCTGGTGACTACAGTGAGCAGGGCTTGGATTCGCATCTGCAGAGCGGATGCTTTGCTGGCTCCCATTTCACACCCCGAGCACCCCGGCCTCGGGCCTCGGGCCTCGGGCCTCTTCTCTTCTCTGACCCCTTCCCCGGGTGGCCTCATCCGATGACATGGCTTCACATAACTATCGCCTGCCCCAGTCTCTCCCCTGAACTCCTTACTGTGTATTTACTTGCCTCCTCGGCCCCTTATTAGGCAGCTCACTCTGAACTCTTGCTCTCTCCACCCACAGCTCATCAAGAAGCCGTTTCCTCCTCAGCGGATGGCAACTCCATCCTTGCAGATGTGTCTTCCAGATGACTACTACCCCACATCCAAGACTATTGGCTTGACCTCCAAAAATATCCAGAATCCAACTGCTTCTCACCACCTTCATATCTTGTACTCTGGACCAAGTCTCCATCCTCTCTTGCCTGGACTCTTGCAGTAGCCACCTCTCTGGTTTCTCTGCTTCTCCCCCTGCCCCTCTACAGTCTATTCTCCACACCAAGCCAGAAGGTCAAACCTGGAAAAACCTAAGTGGTAGCCTGTCCCTCCTCTGGTGAAAGCCCTTTGAAAACTTCTTATCTCACACAGTTAATCCAAACTCCTTACAATAGCCTTTGATAGTCCAAATCTTTCCTCCTCCTCCTCCCAACCTTATCTCCTGCCACCCTCCCCTCATGCAGGGCCTTTGAGGTTCCCCTGCCTCTCCCTCACTTCTTCGAGGTTCCCCTGCCTCTCCCTCACTTCTTCCTGCTCTCTGCTTCCGGTGAGAGAGGGTCAGGTTCTGGACACATCTACTCGCTTTCTTTGTTTATTGTTTGCTTCCCCCAGAGAAGGTGAGCTCCGCGAAGGCACGGACTTTGTTTTTCTGACTTTATTTCCAGGACCTGGAATAGTTCTGTCCCAGGGTCAGTGCTCGTAGGTGAATGAGGCCGAGCGATGGAGACTTATGTAGTTCTAAGAGACCTGGCGAAAGGTGAACCAGGGCACAGGCGGTGTTGCCAAAACACAAAAGAGGTGAAATAGATTCAGGTCGGATCAAGACGCAGACTGACTCTGAGGAGACACTCCTAGGGGCCACCTCTGGAGGCTGAGGCTGCAGAAGGCGATGTTGTAGATGTGTGCCTCGCATGAAACAGAAAATAGGAGGTAAGCAGGTGACAGCCATCGAGGATGGACAGGTGCCAGCACGCTGCTGAGCTCATCGCTGGGGTTCCCCGATTCAATCCTCACCTAACCCTGGGGCTGGGTGCTGCTCCCATCACTATTGTAAGAGGAAACGAAGGCGCCTCTGAGCTGAGCAGCCTGCCTGTCTGTAATCCTGCAGTTAACAATCTCTCCTGGACATTCCACTTCACTGGTTAGATCCTTAAACCTGCCTTGTTAAAGAGCACCCGTGGCTGTGGTTGTCCTGAAGCAAGTTGGGAAATGATGCACTTTCTGGAAAAGGCTAGATAAAACTCGAGACTAACTTTGGGAGGCAATTCTGCTCCTCTGAGGGCTGCAGCTACCAGCAGTCCCAGGTCGCTCTGTCCCTCAGCCAGGCCCGCTGGGCGCCCCGGATTGCATGACGTCTCAGGTGAGAAGCAAGCTGGTGGCATCTGTTCCCCTTCACTCTCCTCCCTTTCAGACGTCCCCATCGTCTCCAGCTAGGTTTGCGCTGGTTCCCAAGTTCTAACCATTGCATCCTTCATCCCTGTGACCTCCCCCTCTGCCTCACCCTTTTCCCTTTAAAAATAGTTCAAGACTTTCCCCATGGCTGTTGAAACCCTAAGGTAAAAATATTCAAGTACATTTTTAAAAAATGCACTACATAAAAGAAACGATTCTATCTCAACAACTGGAATCCAACTAGAATTAAACAAGAATTCAACAAATATGTATTTGTTTTGGGTACGTATTGCTCAGAGCAAAGCCCGGGAGTGTAAGTGGCAGGAAGAACACAGTCGGCTGTTTAATATTAGGCAGCTGTCATCGCCCCACTGATACAGCGTTCCCAGGTTACGGTTCTCTGGCGCTTAAATGACACACACCCCACATCCCTACATGGAGGTGTCAGGAGTCCTCCATCATCTGCTGTGCGATGGCGGGCTACATTTTCCAAACAATGAGCACAGTTTCTCCCTGAAGGAAACTTGCAATCGAAAGATTCGAGGGATCGGAATGTGTAATCCAAAACAGACCTGCGGGGAAGACTGCGTTTTACAGCCCAAGAAGAGAAAGAATGACTTTATTGACTATAAAATAAAGTCCACATGCTACACGTTGGCCCGAACCCACCCTGTGCATCTTTTATTATTATTATTATTTTTTCAAATAGACCTAAGATTAAAAACCAGCCTGCCTCTTCAAGC